ATAATGCCAGGAAAAAAGAGCATAATTCCCGTGATCGCTTCGAAACCTGACCAATATTCCGGTAATGAGACATTGCGTGTGATCACTGATCATGTTTCGATATGAACGATTTCGTGTGAGCCGTGAGGTAGCAAATTATAGCAAATACGGTTAGACAAAATAGTGTATAATTTAATATATCACTTTGTCGCCTATATTCTTAGTCTGTTTATAAGCCTATAAACACATCTCTTCAGTTTCTTGGCGGAAGTAACTATATTCTTTCAAATTTCGCGTTTTTTTCCACCCACTTTCAAAATTCAGGGCTGGATCGGCGCCCCCTTTTCATTTTTGCGCCCCCCAAGAATTGCCAGCTGGGGGGGCCGTGGCCCCCCGGCCCCCCCTGCCAGCACGCCACTGAAGACAAGTATGTATAGCCATTCCGGCTAAGTAAAATGCTAGAATGCCTCGTAAATTTTATTGCAAAATGCAAATTGAGTGAATTTGCAATCGGATTTTGTCACAGCAAAAAAATGTATAATGTGACAATTTGTTTGTGTCATGATCGGACCAATGTCCGATCAAAATTACTTTTGCTTGGACATTTGCCAAATTTAGTCGGACATTGTCCGATGTCCGACTGTCACAGTAATTTGCAGCCCTGGTTCTGCTTCTCTTGTGCATAGTATGAGAAAAAAAGCCCATGAGAGAAATCCTAAGTTGAAAACAGTGCAGTTGTGACATAAATCACATAATTATCAAAAGGGTGTATTGGTGTTGATTACAGCAGCAGATCTAGCCTTATCTGCAAGGAAGAGTGCAAGTTTTCCATCGGGTAGTGCATGAGGGAGGCTGACTGCCCACTCTCCTCTGCAGTCTGCAACGCTACCATCCCAACAAGTTCAACAACCATTATTGGAGTTGGCTGAATCTGCGCGTTCGCCGTTTTGTTATGTTCCACATGATCTTTTGTTTGTAAAGTTTATATTGGGTTTTTATATCGGCTTTATACAGTAAACATGCTGTACAGTATATAATTATTTTAAAATATGGCGGAAAATATCAACCTTTCAAGACATGTTTACATATTTAAAGTGGAAGTCAAGTCTGTATGTAAACAAATGGTTTGTTTACATTTTGAACTGCTGTATTTTTTAAAATATGATGTACTGAACACCATTTTGGTTCACTGTGCTTCTAAATGAATATGAAATAGAGTTTATGTTCAGAAAAATTCTAAACATTCGAAATTTGGGCAATGTTTAAAATATTAGTCAGTCACAGACATTGTCCGACCCATTCGTGAAATTGCCCGACGTAGAGAGGAAACCACCAGACATTCTGTCCGACCCAAGTGAAACTGAGGTTTATTGTTTGTCCGACCCAAGTGTACTGGTGACCGACCGAACTGTAGCTTTGTCCGACGTAAATCAAAATGTACCCTAGCCCAGGACTAGAGGCTTGTATGTTAAATGGAAAATCAGAGTACTATTGTATAAAAGGTGAACTGGAAATGTTGTTTTAACACAGTCGAGCGTGGGGCGGCGAGGGAAATGGTGAAGTGGAAAATGGGCTTAAGTTGTCAAAGTCTTTTTTAATACTGCTGTTCTGGCAAGCAAGTTCATTTTGGCTTGGAAATAAGTATAAAAGAAACAAATTATTTAATATTTTTACAACATTTACCGTTTATTCATTTGTGTCATTCGGACTTATTTCCGAGTCAAAAATGAACTGAAGGTCATCGGACATATGTCCGACCCAAACTCAACGTCACTGGACATTTTGTCAGACGGGCCTGCAAAAGATATTTTAAGGCCTGTTACATTAGAGCGCAGAACGGACTTGACTTCCACTTTAACTATGATATTTAGCTATTTCTGAGTGTTTTTTGTTAGATCACAAAAATCATTCAAGAAATCAACACAAGCTAACAGTAGAAGTTTTGCCAATTGCTATAGTGCTATTCGAAAAAAGATGAAAGAAAGCAGAAAATGTACGGTCAAGTAGACTTTTTTGGTTTGTACGTGCTGGACTTCTCTAGGTGGGTGCTAGCTGACACCATGCACTAGGTAGATCTGCCCCTGGTTGGTTGATTGATTGCATTTCCAATGATGATAAATTTGTTGGTGATTCATACAGTACACACTAGATCATAAAGCTTGATTCCTTTGCAGAGAAATAAATTCCTAGTAATTTCCTAGTAGCAAATTTTGCATTGGAACGTGTAGCCAAGGGCACATGCACAGTGGTGGGCACGTTGTCAGATTTGGGGCGGGGCTAATTAGGTTGCCAACATGACACCACCTTTTGTTGTTGGAAATTTTAGTTCTTTAAACTTTTTGTGTTATATTTCATGCATTAGCAATATATAACTAATTAATTTCCACTTAATAATTTCCAACAGTCAAAACCTTCCAACTGTTATTCAATCTAGTGAGATGCCAACAAAATTTTCATATTTACCCATATGTATTTTAACATGGCAGTACCCTAATATAATATACATCAACTTGTGGTCTAAGAGCTTGACCACTGGATGCTGTAGCTAGCTCAATTAGTTAGAGCGCTGCTCCGGAATCGCAGGGCTGCTTGTTTGATTCCCTACAGGGACCTACAGTACGTTGCATTTTTGAAAAATTAAATTTTTTGAAAAATTAGTGTTACTGCTTTGTTACAGTGATTTATAATTGTAGCTATCGTTCTTTTAGAAATTATTATGGAGGGGTAGATGCCCCTTTACCGGCTGATAGTTTTAGGAAATATAAAACTAATATGCTATTCCAAAAAAAGGATGCATTTTAACAACACATCTATTTTAAGAACTGTATATTTCGAATCTATTTTGATCATCTTCAGCAGTAATAATAATCTTTACAAGATACAGGTAGTGTCTGCCACTGCACATATAGTCATATACTAGTGTACCGGCGGTACCTAGAAATAGAAAACTAGAAATACTAAACAGCTGGACGTTCCGTTATACAGATCAACTGCAGGACAAAGAACATTCCATTACAGAACTGTCACTCTCTGGAACAACATTAACCCTGACTTAAAACTTTGCAAATCTATTCCAAGCTTTAAAATTAAACTGAAACCGGAATTGCTTCAGCAATTTCTAGATAGTTAGCCTAAGGGCATGTTTTTCTGTTGTCGTTGTCGTTGTTATTGTCGTTGATGTTGTTGTTGTTGTTGTTTTTGCTGTCGTTGTTGATGATGTTGATGTACGTTGTATGCTGCTGTTGTTAATCTTGTTGTCAAGAATTTGATGTTGTGTTTGTGTATAAAGTAATTGCGTGATCTTATTATATGAATTTAGGATCTGATGTATAATTATAGTAATTAACCGATATGTATATATATTTGTGTCACTAAAAAGCCCCTGTAGGGGAGTGTCAATAAAGTCAATAACAATAACAATACCTTCTGGCCAGGAGGGGGCATGCTGTACTGTAAAGGCACTTTCTTTGCCCTTTATAGTCTTTATATAGTTCTGACAATGGAAGTGTTCCTAAAATGTTCTATCAATTCATTTGTGCATGTAAACCAATTCATTTGATCAGTTCTTTGAAGACTTGATGACTTGCTGTAAAGAGACAGGAAGTGAGCACAAGTGATCAAATACAGGAGTTGTGGGTAATATTGCATGGTCAAATGTCTCAAATGAATATTAGGCAATTCCAGCTTTTAATTTATGCGTGCAGGGGGTGATGGGAAGTAAGGTATCATATTACTGATTATGCTGAAAAATTTCAATAAAAACTGCTGAAACAATCAAAATATTTCAATATTTACAAGTATAAGCTATCACTCCGTGTTTACATGGCCACCATTTTTATTTTTTTAGCATAAACTAAAAGCTGGAATTGCCTATTGGTTCATGTGACAAATGAATTTGGTAGAACATTTAGGAACACCACGACTGTAAATGGAATTGCACTCTGCTGTACTTTATTATTTTACTCTTTGAAAGAGACTCTTTCTAATGCCAGACAATTTTACTTGTGAATGGGGAGCTTGTATGCATGGAGAGTGGGACTCAATGAGTTAACCCATTAATGTGCAAGACTCTCCCCTTGATGAGTAAAATCATCTGGCGTTAGAGACTAAGTAAAATAATATAGTGCATTAAATTGGGCAATTGTGCATTAATTTGGGCACAATATATTACAGCTTGATGGGTTAACCAGACTATCCGCCCTATTTAGAATATAATGCGCCTAACTACTTTATTATTTTGCTCTGGCAGTGTAACGCCATGCAATACTACTCGTCAAGGAGAGAGTGCTGGCACTTGATCAATGGGTTACACAGTTGCACAGCATATTCGAACAAAAACGAACACTACAGCAGACATACAAGGCACAGTCACAGTAAACAATTTTCACACAAAACATTATCACTTTGAAAGCTGACAAAATTGTTGATTTAATTAATTCTTCGCCGCTATTGTGAAAATACGACTGAATTTTGCGATCGACTGATGTCTTGATACGGAAAAATACCGATTGTGGGCGGTTTGGAGGGATTAAAATGTAGAGTTTTGCGGGGGGAGGGGGGCAGGTGAAAGTTTGCCTGAATTTTTTAGGAGGATTGTAATGAAATAACCTGAATTTAAAGATTTGTTGATCAATCTGCCCAAATTTTCTTGAACTTTCCGAGTATTTGCGCGAATTTCCATGGTTTCTGAAGTGTTTACTGCCCCCTCCCTGCCCCCCGTCTCGTACGCCTATGGAAAGGGATGAAATACTCATGATAGAAAATAAAATTTACGCACAGTTAAAACGTGTTTCTAAATTTTCGTGAAGTGGTTCATTTTTTACAAATGAAACGAAATGGCTGGTTTTCGTCCCTCCCCCTTTACCACCCTCTTAAAGCCCGTAGCTGGTTTTTTCGGAGGACTGTCGTAATTTCATTAATTAGACTTTCTCTCCAGGGTGTAAAAGTTGTCCTTGTTGGATTCTTCAATATAGCTGACTTGGCAAATGTGAGCAAACGTGAAGAATGGGTAAACGGCTTGCTCATAACAGCTATTGCTGGTCACGCTGATGGAGTGAATATTGATATGGAAGGGCCTATAAGCAAAGGAAGTAAGCAAGTGATGTTACTCAATGAACTAACAGCCAATGTTTACCAAACATTTAAAAAGAAGCTACCAGGCTCACAGGTAATTTAGAAGCTAGAGCAAATGAGAATGCCTGGAAGTCGGGCAGCGGCCATTTTGAAAATTTTCGGCTTACTGTAAAACTTCATAACTTAAACATTTTTTTGCGCTGTATTATACACCCTTTTCATAAATGTCTGCCGATTAAAAATTCTTTTATGTGCATATAAATTGGCCCAACTAGCCTCGTACTCATGTTAAGATTTCAAAGGAATTTGTACCCAGAAACGAAGCTAGTTGGGCCAATTTATATGCACATAAAATAATTTTTAATCGGCAGTATAGTACATATACAGGCTGTATATGTATTATTTACAACATGAGCATTTGGATATACAAACTCGAGCAGAAATTGCAGAATATTTGTTGAGAAAATTGATCTTAAAATTTATGTAAATCAGCATGATTTTGTATTAGACACAGTAGCGGACACTAGAGGAGGGAGGGAGAGGGGCGCGGTGATACTACAACATACTCATTTTATACATTCTGTTTTGTTCTGTGTAGGATTCCTTATACCTCTACTGATAATTTTTTTAAACAATTAGAATTGATAGTTTAAACTGCACATTAAACAACAACGCTAATCGACATGATTAATTGATTATCTTAGAAAAAGTATCTAATGTCAGTCAAATGCCACAACTCCGGACTCTTTATTCATTTCATCAAGTAAGCCATGTTCTGAAGATTCGCATAACTTAGAACCTTAAACGGACACCAAAACCCTTTTGGCATACATGTTGGATATTTCTCCCGCCAAATATTTCGTGAAGTGTCGTGATCAGACATACAAACTCGCCACTGATCAGACATACAAACTCGCCACTGATCAGACATACAAACTCGTTCACGGTCATGATTTCATTTGTCTTCTCTTCATGAATTATTAATGCGTTTCACAAGTATAGCAATGAAGAGTTGGCAAACGAGAGTTTGTATGAGAGTTTTCTCAACTCTCGTGCCCCGCGGTCAAACGAGAACAAAAGTTGATATTACCGGGCGCCTGGTGAAAACTCTCATCAACAATGTTGTCAATTAGAGTCGATGAGAGTTAGCAGTCAAACAGGAGCGAGGCAGGTGGTCACGAGGGACCCAAACAGTTCATCACGTGCTACATCAAATCAATCCCGCTCGTTCAACTCTCAAGGGACTAATTTACCACTTTATCGGTTTCGATATATAAATATAGTATTTCCATATTTTGTCTTACTAGGTAACATTTGACGTTGCGTGGTCACCAGATTGTATTGATGGTAGATGTTACGATGTCCTCACACTGTCAAAGTCAGTTGATTTCCTCGCTATAATGGCGTATGATGAAATGAGTCAAATATTTGGTCCTGAATGTGCTGCATATGCTAATTCACCATTTAATAAGACAAAATCAGGTATATGGGAATTATGGTAATTTTGAGCAAATACGTGCACATTAAAACTTATTATATCGCAATGCTCTACAGGAAGCATTCTTGCAATCGCCGCTGGTTAGGTTTTTTTATACCATTAAGCACAATGTGCCAAAATGCGTTCCACTTTACTCTCACCTAGCTATCCGGGCTGTCTCGCTGGCAATAAAAAATTAGTTTGTCTCATTCAAAAGAACTATTAAAATTATTATTTATTGAACGTTCTCTGACTTAATATTTATATCTACGAGCTTTCGGCTATCAGTCTATAGCCTTCGACGGGTGTATACAAATGATTCTATAAAGGACGCTAAACTTAAGTAGGTGGTATGAAATCTGAGACTATCTATGCTATGTTACAAATGGGCAATATGTATATTTAATTAATTAATGTTTCTTGAGTTCCTTTCTTAAAAGTATTGTGTATTGTGCTGGAAGCGCATTAGAGTTATTATCAGCTTCGTCTGTTAGTGCAGTGTGCCAGGACTCTAAGGTTTTAAGGTTTCTATGATTTCCCTTGTCACTTTAGCATTGGCAAAGTCAATTACATGATCTTGAGTCCATGCGTGTTTTGCAACATTCGATCCCTTCTTGCTTTGTTTTACATTCCTGACGTGTTCAGACTTTCTCGTCTTCAGGGATCTTCCTGTTTCGCCTATGTAGCTCCAACTATAATCTTGACACGGTATTTGGTAGACCACGTTCTTTTGCTCTTCAATTGGTGGTTTCTGTTTTGCAGATGGAAACTGGCGTTCGAGGGTTTTCACTGGCTTATTGTAAACTTTGATGTCATGTTTTTGGAGTGTTCTGGCTAGGGGTTCGGTTAGTCCTTTGATGTAAGGTAGAACCGCGATTCCTGCAGGTGGCGACTTTCCTTCGACTAATTCGAAAAATGACCGGACTAACTCTTCAGGGCTTGCTACAGTTTTCATGGATGTGCCATGGGCAGCCCTGTTAGCGCAATTGTTGCTAACTTGTGCATGGAAGTGATAGAAGAACAGGCCATCCGAGACGCAACTTCACCACCTAAAGTTTGGAAACGTTTTGTTGACGATTGTTTTTCCATAATAAAAAAGACTAACATATCATCTTTTCATGACACACTCAACTCCATTGACCCACACATTAATTTCACTATTGAAAACGAAAAGGACGGAAAGATTGCTTTCCTTGACACATTAATTTCTAGAAGGGACGGCTTAATTTCTATTGACGTTTACCGCAAACCCACTCACACAGACCGTTATACTTAAACTACTTATCACACCACGACCAAAGACATAAAATTAGTACTGCAACAACACTTATCAACCGATCATTGTCACTTCCTACTACCGACGAAAGCAAAGAAAGAGAACTAAATCATGTAACCACAGTTCTGGCATCAAATGGTTATCCAAAGAAATCAATTTCAGGATTGATCAAAAAACGTAAGAACAAAACTGTAGTAAGCCCTGAAGAGTTAGTCCGATCATTTTTCGAATTAGTCGAAGGAAAGTCGCCGCCTGCAGGAATCGCGGTTCTACCTTACATCAAAGGACTAACCGAACCCCTAGCCAGAACACTCCAAAAACATGACATCAAAGTTTACAATAAGCCAGTGAAAACCCTCGAACGCCAGTTTCCATCTGCAAAACAGAAACCACCAATTGAAGAGCAAAAGAACGTGGTCTACCAAATACCGTGTCAAGATTGTAGTTGGAGCTACATAGGCGAAACAGGAAGATCCCTGAAGACGAGAAAGTCTGAACACGTCAGGAATGTAAAACAAAGCAAGAAGGGATCGAATGTTGCAAAACACACATGGACTCAAGATCATGTAATTGACTTTGCCAATGCTAAAGTGATAGACAAGGAAAATCATAGAAACCTTAAAACCTTAGAGTCCTGGCACACTGCACTAACGGACGAAGCTGATAATAACTCTAATGCGCTTCCAGCACAATACACAATACTTTTAAAAAAGGAACTCAAGAAACATTAATTAATTAAATATTCATATTGCCCATTTGTAACATAGCATAGATAGTCTCAGATTTCATACCACCTCCTTTATAGAATCATTTGTATACACCCGTCGAAGGCCATAGACTGATAGCCGAAAGCTCGTAGAAATAAATATTAAGTCAGAGAACGTTCAATAAATAATGTTTCAACCTGGCTACGCATCCTCTATTTTTTCTATTAAAATTATACTAAAAACGTAAACAAAGTCCGCGCATGCGCAGAAGGGACTGTAACCTACCTTTAAACTCTATTACCGATTTGTCATATCTTGCTTAGCTCTCGAAATATTTAGACCGAAATTAATGAGCTCTCCCGCCATCTTGGACTATTATAATTCTTGGCCTCATTAACTATGGTTTTGATGACGTCAGGAGTTGGGTTAACCATATAAAACTATACTCTAAAATGACCGAGTAACAATTCAAAATTGTTTGAAATGTTTGTAATCATTTCTAAATTACAGACAGCAACCAGAAACGAAATTTTGGACCCATATTGATCGTTTTATACTCTCAAGATAAAAAATTGGCATGCGTATATAACATGCATATCCTCACTAATCCAAGATTAGAAGTTCTTTCGAATGAACTAAACTAATTTTTTATTGCCAATGTCCTTTAACAATTAGGTATCCAAATCTCACTTGGGTGAGTTTCCTGGTGACGTGAACAGACCCTAATGGTTCGTTGGTTCTCTATTAAATAGTTCCCTCTACGTTTTTAGGTGTATCTAAGTACCTGGATTTGGGTATCCCACCTGAGAAGCTTGTCCTTGGTTTACCATGGTACGGTTACGACTACTCGTGTATAGCCTTCACAGGTGTGGACACGTGTCACATCAAGAGAGTACCTTACCTAGGCGCAAACTGTAGCGATGCGGCTGGCAAACAGATTTCCTACTCGACCATCAACGACCTGTTGCTCACTCGTACAGAGAGTGGTAGAAAATGGGACGAGGGAAGTCAGAGTCCGTATTTTGACTATATTGATATGATCAATCAAAAACACCAAGTGTGGTATGACGATCCGGAAAGCCTTGCGATTAAACTGCAATATGCAGTCGAAGCTGGCCTTAAAGGCGCTGCTATATGGAACTCGGATCTACTTGATTATAGTGCGTTGAAAAGAAGTGTGACACAGACGAAAGATATGTGGGTTACATTAGCTGGTGTGAAAGAAATAAAGCACACTCATCACTAAAGCGCCGTGTATAAACTACTTCAATCCTCATGCATGAAAGCGCAAAGAGTCATATTCTTAAATGACATTTTGCTTGTTTGTTTCCTTGTTTCTTTATTTATCTCCCTCTTGTTCAGTTATTTGTACTGTATAGTATGTCTTGCTTGCCACTCAGCTTGCTCATGGACTTCATTAGTGTGTAAATTTTTTAAAAGGTTCATGTTTAGTTGTTTTTCTTGTTGATTAACTACTTGGTTTGTTTGTTTGTTCAGATTTCTTTGTTTGTCTGGTTGCATGTACGTCTGTGTATTGTTATTCATATTTGTTTGTTTATATCTTTTATTTTTCGATTGGTTGTAATTAATATTTGTTTGCTTTTTTCTTACTGTTTTTACTATTCCTTGTCTGTCATTACGTTTGCAATGCTAGTGCTATGATTTTTTGTTTGGTTGCTTGTTATTTTTTGTTTATATGTTATATCTTTATGTTTGTTTCTTTGTATATGTTTGTTTGTCTATACTCTATACGTCAACAATCTTAACTCATAATTAAAGATTTACGATATAACAAATCGGTGATGCAAATGAAATGTTATCGTCGTATTTGACTTTGTAAACAATGGTAGAATATGGACTAATCAATAAGGTGGATAACTCTCGTTTACGAAATCTGCAAGATATTATGGAACTTCAAGTGATGGTATTGAAGAGGCGTAATAAACGGGCGTATCAAACCCCGTTTATAAATAACGGACCCATTCGCAAATATTTAAGAACAATGATTTTTGATTGGGATAAATCATATCAAGCTAAACTAAATATTTCAACACTGTTATACAAGCCTTTAACGATAAATTGTATAAATATAAGAATAATCAGTGACATTAATTATACTGTCTTTCAGTGTTTTAAAGTTTAATGAATGGAAACACCACGTTTATTTTTCAATGTTATATTTATTTATTCATTCATTTGACTTTGTCAAATACCAACACACAGGCGGGACATGAACAACCACAAACGCCATTACATGTATAACAATATATATGTGTGTGACAACCCCCCTCTCCCTCCCCCTAATGAAAACATCTTGTCGGCAAATAATCGGATTTATCGCCAACAATTTCGGGAAAAGATATTACCGGTAATTAGCGACTGAAATGTTGTCGGTAAATGCGATACTACACCCCCCCCCCCCCTGCTTTAGCCTCTTCGCGACGGAGGAATACGATGTATAGTCGCCTCTGTCGTAGAATAAGAAATTAAAAATGCTATGGTTGGTGAGCACGTCTTCATTGACGTGGCCATTCCCAAATTCACTAGTCTATTTTAGACTTGGTTCAAGTCCGTCTTTTGGGGGCGAGGGGAGAAGAGTAAATGGTCGAAAACAAAAGGAGCAATTTGAAATATCAGGCTTTTTTCTGATCCAGTTGGTGCAACCATTTACCATCAGAACATCTCGGCCGGCCGTATACGCTTCTATCACTCTGCGTTGAGCGTTCATAGCTTCACTATAAAGCCTGGTTCACACGATGAAATAAGCATAAGCATAAGCAAATGGAACCTTTGATGTGCATAAACATAAGAAGAACAAATGTTGCGTTCTTCTTTATATGCTTGCGTTTATGCACATCAAAGGTTCCGCTGCTTGTGCTTGTGCTTATGCTTATTTCATCGTGTGAACCAAGCTTAACCGAGTGAACGCAATCCGTACGAAATAGTATTTTGTACATAAGGCCACTATTTGTTGCATATTAGTTTCTCATCCGGAGCTTCACCTAAAGTTGATGCGGGCGGGCGGGCCATTACCATTATGCCATTATTTGCCGGGTTTCCCCTCTCCATAAAATAACTTTAATTTGGAAAAGTGCGCATTAAGCATTTATATAGTGCCTACCGGAAAATACGGGAATCGTTGTGCATGTATGTTTTACACAACTGTAAGTGCAACTGAAACAAAACTAGCAAGTGCAACTGAAACCATGTTTTCATATTAAAAACATGGCCGCTCCACATGTGAAATAATTTTGTAGCCAAGTCGTCTCGAGTTTGCATATTTGATGAGCGTGTACGTAAATGCGGGAGAAAATGGCACTTTTGGTATGAAATTTCGTATTTTAACAATGACATTTGGTTTGGGAACGTTTCTAATTGTCTTTCTTTCGAATTTCGCTTTGAAGACATTACAAAATTTATAATAATGGTCAAAAATGGCAATAATGGCGAACAAGACCATTTGCTTAAAAAGCATGCGGGCGGGGATGAGAAACTAATATACAACAAATAGTGGCCTAATTTATATTCATCGTGTTATATAAAATGTTGCACAAAATGTTTATAAATCACATGATTCACAGCTATAAATCACATGATTCCTTTATATTGTCTATTTATAGCAAGCATAACTCATGACTTTCTGTCATTGTAATCTCCCAATGCCACGCCTCCGTGGGAAAAATCCGACGGTAAAATTTGGCGCGCTTCAGGGTATCCAAGTCCGTCTCTCCTACTTTTCTCTCATATTTTCGCGCCTTTTTTGACCGCTTGCGTGCATCGCTATTTTCAATCCCTTGAGAGACGGACTTGAACCAAGTCTAAGTCTATCTATACGCGCGTGTCCGTAGTACACGTACGGTCAAGAAGGCAGCTACTAGCCTACTACTTCCCAACACTCAACAGTGCGATATTTCTCAGAATCAACATTGCAATCATTTTGTAACATTTCAATTACAGGTATGTTTCGTCGATTATACCAAATCGTATGGGAAATCGCTATTCCGTTAACGTTCTATAGCAGCTTTACCAAAACCTCGGACTTTTGACATAAAATTTCGATATATAGGTAACCAGACCAACTATCTATTATTTAACAGATCATTTGCAATTGTGTACCATGACCATGCAAATCTACAAAACAGTGAGGTAGAACAGTAGAGGAAGGGCATAAGGGCAAGTACCCCTCCCCAAGCTTTCTTCAATGTGCCTCTTAAAATTTCCCAAGCCTAAACATTGGGGAAACTCGCCTTTTCTAACAGAAGAAGTGCCCTTAAGACGAAGCTAAGTGCCCTTCCAACTTCAAGTTGCCTCCTACGCTTATGCTATAAGAAAGGGAAATTGAAGGACGTACTTACTGGTCACAGGGCTTTTCGAAAGAATGCATCTTTATGAACAGGAAATTTACATACTTAAAATGTTTTCAAAGAGTAAGGGTTTTCTGGCAAGCGTTATAAACGTTAGTAACTGTTCTAAAAGTGCAGGAAATGGTGATTTCATTTAACAGGGTGGTAAAGACCGAAGGGGTTTTTCATGTTTCGTTTCACGAAAAATAAAATCATTTCACGAATTAGAAAGAATCTTCTATTTCAAGTTTCACGGAAAATAAGACACTTGTTGGGGATTCCCGCCTCCAAGGATAGGTATCCCACAACAAGTCACAATAAAAGGTTTAAAACAATATATTTTCGCTTAAAAATCACAATGTTGTTGTATATTTTCACAATTTTCCCGAATACTTTATAGAAAACATGCTTAGCTTGCACTTCTGGTAGCATGGTCGGTGACGTCAGCTACAGGCAATAAAGTCCACCGGGCATATCAATCCCATTTCCGGACACACTAATAAAAATACATCCTTTTCGCTCATACCCGTTTACCGTTAAAAAGTGTAGTTAAAACACGGATCCTGTTCAGTTGTATACGAAGTTTAGTGCGTGGAATTCGAAGAGTCTAAAGGAATTTACAATTATATTTATTGACGATGTTGGTGCAGGGTTTTAAGGGGTACGAGGATTCAAGTGAGATTCTTTTGTTTAAATGGGCTCTTCTACATGTAAAGCAGGTTTACGAACTTCATGCATGGACGACATATATCGACCAGTCGCTTACAATATAAAAGAAGAAAACAAAGATGTAAAACCAGAGGACAGTTTCTTCTTTTCCTGCCGAAAACTGTTAACAATACTTAAAATCCCGTGCACATCACTGGAAATTTCTCTTTAATTTTAATTTCAATTTAACAAATTTATTTGGATCAATGTATATATATATATATATATATATATATATATATATATATATATATATATATATATATATATATATATATATATATATATATATATATATATATATATATATATATATATAACACATTTGAAAGCTAGATCCAAAACGGCAAGGTACGAACGGGACTCTTTGAAAAGTTCCCATGCAAGGCACCTTCCGGCGTCCAATTATATGATTATATGTACAGTTATATACTTATATACACATAGTATACATATACGCACGCTCACAGACAAAGCACACACAGAGACAGGTTACACACACAGACAGGTTACACACAGACGCTTAAAGGCCATTTCCCACCGCAGTCGCCCCGCACACGCGATTTTATCATGTGAAAAACTAGTTCTACTTTCATGGCGTGTCCGCGAGCATTCAGGCGGACAAAAATGAATGTCCTTTCCGCTCACGCGGGCAAAGGGACTGCACTGGAAAATAGCCTCAAAGATGGTCTATTAAACACACATTTATTCTCGTTGTTCTCTGTGACAGGGACAGTCACACACCGAGAACCAAGTACAGCTAGGGTAGGTCAACATCATATACAGAGCGTAGAAGTTCTAAATAGCTGCGTTTAAGAAAGTTTTTGAAAGAGATAGGGCTAGAGAATGTATCTGGATTGACATCTTGACATACATTGTTCCACGGTTTGACAATACGGTTGAAATAAGATGATTGAAACGTAGCAGTTCTACACATAGGAGTTTGAAGCATTACACCAGTAGCTTGGCTAAGTCGAGTACGTCCATGTTGATTGTTGAATAAAAGAGACGCAATTGTTAATATTAAGATCGACGTAACCGTACAACGCCTTGAAGAAAAATACGAGATCTTTCATCTCTCTATCGTAAGAGAGTGGTAAGAGTTCCAATTTCAACAGCCGTTGCTTGTATGGCATTTCACAAGTCCCGGTCCTTAGAATCCATTTTGTGGCTCTTCTTTGTACTCTTTCAATCCTTTCACTGAGTTGTCTGTTGTGAGTAGGCGACCAAACTTGTGTTGCATAGCTGAGCTTCGACTTCACCAGCGAAAGATACAGTGTACGTCGGATGTTGATGTCTGTGAGTGAGTAGCAAGTCCTCTTAAGCGCGCCTAGCTGCCTATTCGCTTTCGATACCATTTGGTTGATATGTAAGTTCCACTGTAGTTTACTGGAGAAGATTACGCCAAGGTCTTTCTCGTCGTCAACTCTCGACGCGTTGAACAGTTCAGCTTTATGGGCTGCAGTTTTCGCCGTTACGCCTTTGTACGATATTTCCGACACTTTGCTTTCACGATGACGACATGTCGACTTGTGGTAGCTCCAAAATAGCTTGGGATTATCGAGAAATGAATCTTTAATTTTCACAAGATAGTCACGGTGTTTTTGTCTCATTGCGTATTTGATAGTTTGAGTCAGAGTTCGGAGTTTCTGTTTACGGGCTGTAGTTTTGGATTGTCGGTACTTTTTCAACGCAGCATATTTTTTTGGTAGTAAGTGCCTTACATCTCCGTCAACCCAGGGTGGCGAGTTTGTGTCTTTAACAACATTCTTAGGAATAAATTTGTTCACATGCGCGAGAAACCACTCTTTCCAACGAGTCCAGTGCTGGTCAATTTCCTCTGTCAATACGCCATCACTATCGAACCCTGCTTGCAATAGAGAAGTCCGAAGTTCTTCGAAATTCCCTTGTCTATAGTCAAAGATTGTTCGCTTGATTGGTTTAACGCGAGCAAACTTTTGTTGGATTTCAAATTCTATGATGTGGTGGTCGGTAGGAAAACCAAACTGTTCAGGGGTAGATGATGTTACATTTTTGATTATTTCAGCGTAGTTGCAGAGCAGCAAATCAAGTTTGTTGCCGTCACGATGCGTGGAGCCAGATATTAATTGTTCAAGAAAGTGGTCACCAACTAAATCGCAGAACTTGTTTTCCAAAAGGCCACCATTATTGTTTGGGTTTGGATGATCTAGTGACCAGTCAATGGCAGGCAGATTGAAGTCCCCGATAAGAATGATGCACATGGACTCAGGAATGTTGTCAAGAATTGAGTTGAGTTGTTGTATAGAATCCAAAGTAGAACTAGGAGGGCGGTAGAAAGTGTACAATATGATAGATTGATTATTGGCTTTGAAAAGTTCCACTACAACTAGTTCCACGTTATTTCCCTCCAGATCGGTTCGACGTTTTGCACGAATGGTATCTCTTACCGCAACCAACACGCCTCCACCCGTCTTCCCAACCCTGTCTCTGCGAAAAATGGAGTAACCTGGTAACAGTTCGCTGTCGAGCACGCAGTCGTTGAGCCAGGTTTCGCAAACACAGACAACGTCATAACCACCGCAGTAAACCAATTGTTGAAATATGTTTATTTTACAAATTTTGGAACAGTTGTCGTCTGTCTTAACGAAAGCTTTTAGACTTCTCGAGTTCAAATAAAGACAATCGAGTCCGTACGTGCTGAGAATCATTACGCTTACTACAAATGTACCCTTGCGTTGATTCAGATGAACGTGACGTGATAACTAAATCTCGTGTCATGACCTAAAACAAATAAAGGATTAAATCACCATTGTCATTGTCCATTGACGTAAAACTGAGCCATTTCACGTTTCACGAGAAATAAAAATGTCATTTACGTTTCACCATGGATAATAAAATAAATGGATAGGACTCTAGCTGACATAGGCAAAAACAACCTAGTTGCAATCTGTGACGTCACGCGTATTGCAAAGGTCTCGGCATTTTTGTTGTTTCGCTGTACTTTCCGCTTTAAAAGAGTAATATTGAAGCATATACTGGTCTAATTGTTTTAAAAACATGCCTAACGACAAAATATTCAAGGTAAATGTTTTAACGAAATTTGGGATGCCTTTTTCACTGTTTAGTGCTTGAAATATTTGCTAAAATTGACTGGGAATACTTAGAGATTTCATCGTAGAATGGCGTGGTTATATTCATTTGCTCTTTGACTAAAATGTTTAGCTGTATTATTGCTAAACATGCTGTTTTTGAGAATTTGATTTGCAACTAGGTTTCAACATCCAATCACGCCATCAGCCCATTGAAAACATTAGGTCACGTCAGCTAGTTTCCTGTCCATTTATTTTATTATCCATGGTTTCACGAAAATAACCTTTACCATCCTCACAATTTTTCAAATCATCCCCACAAAAAGCGCGCATTGGCCAATGCTATTCAAGATTTTGTGCTTGATAGATCTCGCTTGATGAGAAACTAAATGTTGAACTGGTTTTTGTATGAGATGGAAATCTCAGCTCGAGCGAAAATTCAGCGCTCAAGTTCTAGCAGAGTAGATGCCAAGGTAAATAGGTATTCAAGATTTTGGACTGCAGACCTTACATGGAAATACCAAGCAAAATTTTTTAGACATTGGCCAATAGCCGACTTTCTAGAGATTCCTAAATTTCGTGAGCCGTGCATGAAATACCGATATTTGTTCTCGTGAAATGTGAAATCACGGGAGTGATTTTTGTTGACGGACGTTGTGTCGTGAAACGTGGTTTACGTCTACAGCTGCAGTAAGCTATGACTGTCAGTAATTTTCTCCCGGGAAACGAGAATTTAGTTCAGACAAGTAGAATAAAGGCTGGAAGAGTAATGGATGTATCAAACAACTTTATCCGATGGCGATCGCGATGCATGTATACCACAGCTTCTTCATTTTTACCTGACTCTTCCACAGTCCCTCATCCGTACGCGGTACGCGCGGTGGAATTGAAGAGAGCCTGTTAGCAGGCTAGCATCTCTGAGGCAGCATTTTTAGGGGGTATATTTTTGGTGTTTAATTAAGAAGACTTCAATGTTGAGATTTCAGACTTAGTTTCGATATCTATAAATTTCTAAGGTAGCAAATACAATTTACCCAGTTAAAACTTGGTTTCTAATTTTCGTGAAATGGTTCATTTTTTACATATATATCGAGATTTTTTGGGATGCCCATTTATCCACTGACTGGGAATGAGATTAGGATTTGAACGAAAGACAAGGAATTTTATAGCTGACGTGAGGAATTTAGGAATTTTGTAAAAGGAAGTCTATTGTTAGAGCAAAGGCGGAAGAGATCAAAACGTTAAAACGTATCAAATTTCATGCTTTATAAATACTATCGAACGTTGAGTTTTGAAAGTATGTGAATGAATAGTCGAGAATTTCTCGGTTTTCGTATCAGATTATCGAAAAATATGTAATTTTACAGCATATAGTTTGGTTATGAACAATTTACTGTGAGCAAGTGGTCTATATTTGATGATTTATGAAGGTAAGTTTGAAGTGTGAGGAGTGTGCATGATAAAGAGTGTGTATTTCCTTGTAGCAAATTTGTGTAATTTTATTACTGTAACTCTCGGTCTCTTAAAGCATGTAGATCTCCTGTGTTACAGGGATACGGGGACATGTATTATAAAGGGCATATTAAGATAGCATAAACCAACGTATAAATTATTAACCAGATTGCACTATAAACGGGAAGCGCTGAATCGTGTAAACATTATCAATTTCATAATGTACTATAAATAATCCGGCGTACTCATGCTATACTGCAGTCTGCAGATTAATTAACTGAAGTGAATGTACTTGCATATATACTTTATTTGAAGACTGAACTGCAGTTGCTCATTTATTTTCCTTTAAAAATGCATCAAATAGCTACAATAAATTGACTAAAGACCCCCCTTGGTGTTTGGGCAAACTTTTATAGCTGATATTGCATACAGTATTTGCAATGACAACATCTTGTAGGAAATTAATTAAATAAGACGGTTTCAAACATGACTGCACATCACATCCTTGAAGAGCTTATCTGCATAGCCAAATTTTATATGTTTCACACATTTGTATGTGATTTTGTGACCAGCGAAATTGTTTGGTGTCAGATACAGTAAAATAAGTACAAAGAAGGGGTGAACCGATCAAGGTAGGCTGTGAGCAGGCCAGGATGCAGGGCACTGTGCACATTGCCACTTAAAGAGCTTAAATATTCCAATAATAACAAGCTTTCGTTGGTAGGGATGCAGCTTATTCCCAAATTCTACATTTTCAGTGAAGGCCATCCATCGGGAAGAACTTTAGTATAGCCAAAGAGGAAGTTAGTCTACTATAACTTCGCTCGAAATGTTGAATTTTACTTTATATGGATCCCTACCAACGAAAGCTTGTTCAAAATTTAATGCATGTGAATATATGCAAGTAAGTGATCTACTTGTGACTATTCTTGATTAGTATCTATCATACTGGTGTCACAAGATGTAGATATATGAATATTTATCATTGGTTTAATTATCATGATATTTGAAGAATTTCCATGATGTCATTTGTCTGAATATTTATCTCTGCATGAATTGTTGTAAGCAGGTCTGTTAGGTTAATTGCCCCTGACATGTATACACTCTAGAAGCATTATTGCTATGCGAGCCAAAAATAATCCAACATGTTGGTGGAAGTAGGGGTGGCGGGGGCACTGGTGTCCCAATAATTTTCTTTGTGTGTGTGGGGGAATGGCCCAATGGTCTAAATCTGTATAGAATTGGGGAGGGGGCATACACATTACCAAGCCAATGCAAATATCATAAGAAGGTACATCTTAGTGAGGTCATAAATATCACCCCCAAATAGCTTGAAATCGCATTCCAGGGACTCTAGATTTCAAAATGTTTCTGGAGCATGCCCCTGGACCACCCTAGTAGGTCTCACCCCTTCAGTGTTTGCTTCTTCAGCCCCCCCCCTTCCAAAAAAAAAGCCGAGACAATTTAGACAACTGGTACAAATTGAAAGCTGTTTGATGTGCATTTGACAAGTGTGAAATTTATGATAATACTGTAAATCAATTTAATAATTATTATTGTATAATATTTCAAATATTTTATTCCTGTAGGATGGCTGGTAATATAAAACTTAATGTAGTGGGCCGTGTGACAACTGCTACTGCCATAGCCCCTGATGATAATATTGACAACGATTATCAGACAAAGACACTACCTGCAACACCTGATGACGACCTATATGACTCAGTCAGTCCTAGAGCAACACCCAAACTACCTGAAGATCCAGAAGGGTATTTGGTACCTTACCCAGATAGTCAGAAAGGAGGTAAATCCTCCAGGAAGTCCAAAGATGAACATAAAACAGGTTCAAAAATCACTTCAATATAAAATTCAATATAATGCAAAAAGGTATTCTGTTTCGGGTCAGTGGCGCACATCATCTTTGACTTAATGCACATCAACGTTTTTTATGAAAACTGCTGATCATCTCTAAGAAATTTCAAACTTTTAGGAAACTTTCTTCCCTGGTCGAGGAAATCTACTAAAATTTTGACATGAAAGTACAGAATACATATATAGTGCTCAAAAAATAACATACTGCATGTTTTCTCATGATTTTTGTGAGAGATTATCAAGCATATTCTTTTGATAGAGTAGTTGGGTAGTAGAGTAGTTGGGTAGTTGGGTAGTTGGGTAGTAGAGTAGTTGGGTAGTTGAGTAGTTGGGTAGTAGTTGGATAGTAGAGTAGTAGAGTAGTAGGGTAGTAAAGTAGTAGAGTAGTAGAGTAATTGGGTAGTAGAGTAGTTGGGTAGTAGGGTAGTTGAGTAGTAGGGTAGTTGGGTAGTTGAGTAGTTGGGTAGTAGAGTAGTAGAGTAGAGTAGTTGGGTAGTTGGATAGTAGAGTAGTAGAGTAGTTGGGTAGTTGGGTAGTAGAGTAGTTGGGTAGTTGGATAGTAGAGTAGTAGAGTAGTAGGGTAGTTGAGTAGTAGGGTAGTTGAGTAGTAGGGAGTAGGGTAGTTGAGTAGTAGGGTAGTAGAGTAGTAGGGTAGTAGAGTAGTAGAGTAGTTGGGTAGTAGAGTAGTAGGGTAGTTAGAGTAGTAGAGTAGTAGGGTAGTTGAGTAGTTGAGTAGTAGAGTAGTAGAGTAGTTGGGTAGTAGAGTAGTAGGGTAGTTGAGTAGTAGGGTAGTAGGGTAGTAGGGTAGTAGAGTAGTTGGGTAGTAGGGTAGTAGAGTACTTGGGCAGTAGAGTAGTTGGGTAGTAGGGTAGTAGAGCAGTGGGGTAGTAGAGTAAAAATGCTGTGCTGAGTGGTTATATTACTACCTTAAAAAATAAGCAGAAACTCAACGTTTTGAGCGAAGGCCCTTTGTAGTAGAGTAGTTGGGTAGTAGTGGCTCGGACCCCTTAGCCCCCCCCCCCTCCCCTTGTGTCCGCCACGGATTAGCCAAGACAGTAAATTCAACCTTTAAGTTTGAGGTTCGGGTTTGCGGTATAAATTTTACACATGGATCCTGATACATTTTATTTCTATTTCTAATATTAATTTTAATACACATGCTCTTGAAAAAATTTCTGCATATTTTTACATGGCCCACCCTTATGATTACAATTAACTTTCTATCCAACTACTCTACTACCCAACTACGCTATTACTCTACTAGTCTACTACGCTACTACCCAACTACTCTACTACGCTACTACTCTGCTACGCTACTACCCAACTACGCTAATACGCTACTACTCTACTACCCAACTACGCTACTACACAACTACGCTACTACTCTACTACCCAACTACTCTACTACTCTACTACCCTACTACTCTACTACCCTACTACTCTTGTACTCTACTACCCTACTACCCTACTACTCTATTACTCTACTACTTTATTACTCTACTACTCAACTACTCAACTACTCAACTACCCAACTCACCATTCACTGTCGGGTACATGACAACTTTTCATTTGGTCAAACATATGGGTAAAATTTGGTGTTCAAAGTAAAAGAGTGTTCTGACTGTAATTTTTAAACTCAATACTAAATATCTTGACGACCGAACAAACGTTACTCACACTAAAACCTATGCGCTAAAGTGTAAAGTCATAAACTGCTTAATTATTTATTTTGCAGACAGAATATTCCGTCTGTAATTGTAAAGTCTATTTAACTGAAACCACTACCCGTAGTACGAGCGTTGTCCGGAAATTTTCGAATATACGCATCATATTTTTTGCCAGGTATAATTCATTGTACTATAAATAATAATTTTCTCATATTCTTATTGATTGAAAGCCTACAGATAATTTTCTGTATCTCGGTGCAGACATGAACATTACAAATAAATTTGTATCGTTTAGTACGAATAAATCTCGTATCGTTCAGTTCTCCTATATAGTTCAAGACAAAGATTCTGAAAATTTAAAGATTCTGAATAATAAAAAAATTATTGATTTTGCTTATGCAGGATATCAGAATTATTCAGACTTCAGTCAGCGACTAATTAACAATTAGACAACAAGGCCGAATTGTCTAGGAGCGAATAGTCAACGAGGCGAAGCTGAGTTGACTATTTGCTCATAGACAACGAGGCCGAGTTGTCTAATTGTTTTAGTATAAACTTTAACATTAATTTACAACTAGGCTGCAAACACAATTCAAAAATACACAAAAAACATTATAAAACCATTAAAGGTAAACAAATATTTTAGTTTTTGTTCGCGTAAAATGTTTTACAAAATTTAGTTTTAATTTTAAAATTTCATTGAGTGTATGTTATTTTATCTATTTTCTTACCCTTAAAAATTGCCATTCCATATTTTTGTTGCTTTTTTCGGGCTTTTTTAGTACAGAATTGTTCAACAAGTGGTCCAAAAAATCATCAGACACTTCGGCAAAAGTGCAAAACGCTAATTTTCCGCCATTTTGAATTTTCTATTAGTAGGCTATCACTAATAGCCTAGTAGTAGCGTAGCCAATCAGAAGCCACGATATGTGATAGCCTACTAGCACAGAATACTACACAGAAGTCCATCTCCATTGTTTTTAGCGTAAGCTCTATTCGTCATGATTCGTCACTCAGCAAGTACCGTAAACAGAAGCAGTCACCCCCCTGGACATACGCCATTTTTAGTATTCCAGGAGGGGGACTACTTCTGTTTACGGTACTTGCTGAGTGACGAATCATGACGAATAGAGCTTACGCTAAAAACAATGGAGATGGACTTCTGTGTAGTATTCTGTGCTACTAGTAGGTTTATACTAATTGTTAATTATTCTATGGAAAATTTGATGGTTACATTAAATATGGAAAATTTCCATCTTCAAACCCTTCAACTATTAGTTCTATTGAGTGTACAGATGCATGAAATCCTGATTTTATCAAGAAAACCCAATAGGTTTCAATTTCAATATATTAAATTTTTACCAAACTAGGAATGTTCGGAATAAGAATTTTCCGCTATCGGTATACCGGAAAAATTATACTGATATTATTGGTGCACCAGTTTTTTGCCTTTTAAATTAGATAGGAAAATTCCTTGGTGGAAATTTGAAGGAAATTTTGATTTTCAATAAATTCGAAAGCAGAAGCACCGTTTATGATAATTTCGAAGCTGTTGACATTGTTTTTAACACGAAATATCCAGGACTTCTTTATTTACTTTGCATTTGAGTAAAACAAAAATTGATGATTTCACCATAATTTTGCATGGTGTGTAAATTTGATACGGTGTACCGAAAAATTCCGATATATCGGAAATTTCGGTATATCGGCATGACTGAAAAACTCATGCCGATAAACCGATGTTGGTTTCAATACCAATATTTTCGGTATATCAGTTTACCGAACATTCCTATACCAAACAATTAAAAATACAATTCAACTTAAAAAATACAATTAAGAGAGAGGAAAAAGTATTAAATACGAGATGACCAGTAACCCAACAAGAAGCTATAAAAGCTTATAAAGTGTTGGGCACCTTAAAATTGGGAAAATTTATCAATTAGATGTTCATTAAACGTGCAGTGATGGATACAATATAGTCAAAATATAAATAATTATTTACAGTTTACAACATTGCAATATTAAATCCAGTTCGCTATAGTACAAACTATTTATAATGAGCAGATTAAGCCATTGAGTCGCATTGCGCCCTGATGCGCCCTACTTTATTATTAAACTCTGTCTAACGCCAGATTATTTTACTCTGTTTAACACCAGACGAGTTTACTCGTCAAGGGGAGAGCGCTGGTGCTTAATGGGTTCAACATAATGGGCTTTTAAAAATTTATTTCGGAAAGATGCGATTGAAAAAGTGCTTCGGACATCTAAAGTCTCTAAACTTAAACTTGTTATTGAAGAATTTTGGGCTTTGGCCCTTGATAAAACACGGAAAGTCGTCTGATATTAGTCCTACAAAACGGGATAATAATTATATTGTGAATAAGTAGTCGGTACTATAAACGTGCCAACGAAGGTCGAAATGGCGACGTTGTGCTTGACGTATATATGTTCCAATTTCCAGGTACAGTAGTTGTATCTCTCGCAGTTCCACAGAACGAATTCGAACCTAACTATTATTCTATTCTTAACAATGCGTACGCTAAAGTGTACCTATTTTTTATGCAGAGGCATCAACCTCGGCCAGAGCGACAGCCAGACCAAGCGTAGTTTCTCTATACGAAGATCTCTGGGAATATACGAAACAAGGAGACAAAACCGAAGGGCAGGAGTATCATTTTCAACCGAACAACAATGTCAATGATGATCCAATTTACGACGAAGTCGAGTCAATGATACCATCCAATTTGCCGCCGGGTGCAAAGATTATTCCTGTGGAAGAACCAGCGTCTGCGTATGACGAGGTCATCATTAATGACGGTGAGTACAATGTCAATCCGTCAAGCCAGTTTTTTTGGGAGGCAAATTTGTCCGACGCCTCCGACGGAAAACCGGATTTTTACAACTCATGTACATGTAGCACGTAATAGCTAGCAAGGATATTTCCACGCTCCTCCTCAGAGTCCGCCAAACTGCATGTCAGAGGCTTATTTTTAAAATACATTACAGTCAAAATACAAGAACCTTCCCACTTCTGCTTCTGTACAGTAGTCTGTTGAGATTTTCTGTAATTTGTTCCGTATCACTGTAACGGTTACCGATTTGTAGACACACAAAAATAACGTAATAAAATTCAAATTCCGCACCTTTGTCTAAAATGCAATGAATCTAACGAATTTTTTTTTCTGTGTTGGTGTTACTAACGAAGTTATTATTATTATCATATATAAAAAAGAAAGAAAACTAAATTTTGTCGCCATATTTGCTAATAATTTGGTAGCCTGCGTAGCAGGCGCTATTTAGGGGGTCGCCTTCGCATTCCCCCCTAGCTTCGCCCCCCCTCGCCCTCCGCCACCCCCCCCCCCCTAAATAGCGCCTGCTACGTACGCAGGCTAATAATTTGGTAACATAAAAACAGAACAATTTACAAAAAGTTACAACAGATTACAGTGGTAAGAAGTGCAATGAGAAGGTTCTTGTATTTTGACTGTAATAAAAGGCTTTTATAGACCTTTCTCAAAATGACGTCAAATGCGGAAAAACTCTTAATTCGCAATTTATGCAAATTATGTTTTTATGAAATTTTTGGCTCGCCAACGACTTGCATAGCGAAACGTTGCTAAATTGTCGCTAAAAATTGTCTCGTGGGACATCGCATATCGTTTACCGCGTTTAACGTCATTATAAGAAAGGTCAGTTAACGAAGTTTTTGGCGAGCGTTTTTATTGGTTTCATACGGGCTTTGAATTTAATATCTGCAATTTGATTGGTCAATACCGTGCAGGATCAGACAATCCTGCGGGGGAAATTTAAATGCCTTCGCGCGGACTTTTTAAAATGTAGGACAATGAAAACGTTTTGACGTGTTAAGTTAGCAGTACAGTATATTAAACGAGAGGCAAGTTAACAAAAACGTAAATATATAAGTTATAAATAAAATAAAGTTAACCGTTGTTTCACTATGTGTTACGTATAACATACAAAAAACTCCTCTTATAAATACGTGTATACATCAAGTTCATTTCACGATTCAACTTTTTTATTCAGGTCGTTATATGATACCGTCAAGGCAATGGGACAGTGATTCAGATGCATTCGAGTCTGATTTTGATGAAGACGCAGAAGCGCCCAATTATTTTGGCGAAAATTTGGAGGAACTTTACGAAAATTTAGAATATCGAAAATTAGCCTCGCCAACACCAAGAACAGTAAGTTAACAGTTTTTCCTTGAGTTTCTTTTTTTGCTCAGTGATGCATTATGTAATCATCTAATTTCACTTCATTTTCATTGATTGAGAGCCATGAACTAGCTATTGTAAAGGACACACGCTCAGCTGCCGTGGTATCGGGTCAATTTTTGCCTTATTGGTAAACAATCGGAGTCAGTAAAGATTGTTCAACTTTAAAACTTTGGTGTTGTGAGGATTCCATCTAGAGCCTAAGTAGTACGCAAAACATTATGTCAGTCGACTTGCACTTTAAAGGTTTTTAAAATTTAGCTCAGGCAATAGGCCAAGAGAATACCATTTAAGAGATGTGATATTCAGACCAAAGATAAAATATGGCTCCTAATAGACATTTCTTAACTCGGGTATATACACCACTGCGTTGATTCAAGGACTTTACTTCTACTTCACTTTAATATATTGCCATTTTATATTTATTTATTTATTTATTTATTTAGATACCATTCACTATGGTGCATGACGACGATCAATCATTGAAGTCTCAAGGAGGCATATTAAGCAATTGTCTTCCTATCTCATTTTCCAAAACTTCAAAGTCTTCGGAGAAGTCATTTGGTAACAGTCGTTTTTATACCGTATTAAGTAAGCTCATCACTAAAACATACAATAGATCAACACCGGGTTCGTCCTCGAAGAGATTATGAGTTCACCCTCGTTTGTTTACTTTTTTTGTGAATGTCTGTCTGCTTTTTGTTTATTTTCTATTCTGATATTACTGTAGTATTATATACACAGGGATTCATTACTCCAGTTCGCCCAATATAGGTCATCGTTACAGCAGTCGTGGTTGGTGCATGACTGAACTAGCAAACTTAGAAGTGGGCTAACCTGCAATCAAGCCTCGGTCACAAATACATCTTTTCATAGTGATCTCAAACGCGGAAATCTCTTCAATGTCCCACAGGACAATTTTTAGCAACAATTCGCAATGCCACAATTCGCATGTACAGTCTGTATAACATCATTTGGATTGCAAACTATCGATAACAGTTGTCCATTGGGGCATCGCAGTAAATGTTATTTTCCGCGTTTGATGTCATTATGAAAACAATCCATAGATCCTAACACAATTAAACCTCCTGTTTTTCGCTCTCCGTCCAAAGTATAGTTTATATTTAATATCCAATCAAATGTCCCAGGAGAAATGAAACGCGGCATGAAACATGTGACTGCATGTAACTAGCGAATCAGGTAACAGAACGCCACCTAATGCAAAAACTGTTACCATGGTCAAACATAGTTTTTTGGATAATATTCAAATGACATGGTATATTTGCTGAATTTGATTTTCTAGCAGCTTGACAGTAAAATATTTTTAAAATGCCGGAAGTGCGACCAGGATTGAACATAATGATTTTCGAGACGTTCTATGTTTGGAAATATTTATTTATCACGAGTGATTGAAATATTGGGCATACAGCGTTTCTTTATTTCCATCGTTAGGTGTCGAGAAAAAAAGCAGGTTGAGATTTTCTCCTAACCCTGACCCCTACAGGAGTCTAAATTTAAGGGTTTGTGTGAATATATTTTTTAGTTCGATTTCTTTTATTGTGTAGATGAATCTCCACTCTATGTGGATCCGAATAGTTGGGGGAAAAAGGAACCTGTAATGCCACCGCTGACTCTGGACCTGTCAACTGAAGAGGTATTAAATTTCTAGAAGATTTCCAATTTAAAATTTCTTTCTCAATGTGCCTCCTTTCTTAATGGGGCGTCCAAATGTGCCCAAGAAAATAGGGGTGCATCGTATAGAGTATTTTACTATCCAGCTGCCGGATACTATCCGTGTGATATGATTGAAATCACTCGCTACGTTAAATATGATGACGTATAAGGCGTGATTGGATGATAAATTTAGCTTTTTGATTGGACATTTTGAATTTGAGGTATAATATACTACTCTATACATGTACGATGTAGTCAAGGCCAAGTTACACGAGGGAACTTTTGCTTCAACTTGTCAATAAGAGAAACGGCGTGCGTGATCTATGTTTCATGTACTTCGTCGATATTTTTAATTCTTTTATTCCCCCATGGTAAACTAGTAAGAAAAAACGTTGGCGAAATAAATGTTGGCTCAAATTCTCTTATTCGATTAAGTATTATGACTCTCTGTCCGAAATTGCATTCAGCAAGTTTTGGCAACAAATTTCCGTGTGTAGCAGTCCTTTATAAACATGTTGCAATTTTGTACCATTTTATATTTAGCCCCGTTTACACTACGCTCAATTTTTGGTACGGCACGGATAAAATTGGTACCCGTACCACTTTTTTGGTTCTTGGACTACGTATTTAGGTAGTCCAAGAACCAAAAAGTGGTACGGTACCAAAAATTGAGCGTAGTGTAAACGAGGCTTGGCTAAATAGGTAGTCCAAGAACCAGAAAAGTGGTACGGGTACCAATTTTATCCGTGCCGTACCAAAAATTGAGCGTAGTGTAAACGGGGCTTTATTCATCGGATCGTCACAGTTGAGTAGCTTTTCCCTTGGCCTATAAACTTCAAAATTGTATTATGTTTTCCTGATTTTAGGCAGCACGGTACGAAATAGTGAACAAGATTTTGGCAACTGAGGCTACGTACAAGGAAAATTTGAGTCAGCTTGTGAAGGTTGGTCGACGAAGCTAGAAATTACATGCATACTGTTAATCGAAGTAATCAGTATCTCGACCGCCGAGAGATTTTGCGGGACAGCTGGGGCAACAATTAATGAATCCGCTATGACGTGATATGTTTCAAGCAAGTTCCCAAACGTGGAAAGAGGCCTTTCGCGTGCCCATGCAATCAAAGTAGCGTATATATACTCGTTCAATTTTGGCACCCTCCAAAATTTAATGGCATGTGATGTTGGGTAACCTTAGCTGTCCACTCCAATAGCGGCAAACTTTCATAACATAGTTAATTGAATTCTTCTTTAAGAACTATAATTTCAAGAGATTACGGGATCTGTTTTCGGCTTTTACAACAGGTACTGTATGTATACGCGTGCGAACCAATGTCACGATATTCATCGACCATAACGGTAATTAGAATATATCGTCGCTCCAATTTCTACCTTCGGTGTGATAATCATGAGTGAAGATATTGCGGCAAAAACGATAATTAACAGTTATTCACCTTAGCGGAGGTGAATAGTGCAAGGATATTCATCAAAACGGGAAGCGTTGAGGTGAATATCCTTGCACCATTAACCGACAATGAGGTGAATAATTGTTTTAGCATATACTGTACCATGCCACAACAACAAAAATGACCAAAAAACAACGAAAATATTTTACATTGAAAACAATGTGTTTTACCCCCCGTATAAATAGTTGTAAACAAAACAGTATTTACACGCTTTTAGTAAATTTAGAAATATACAGCTTTAAAGAATACCTCTACACACTGTTAAACAAAACTTTGTGCCTTTCTCCGTGTTTGGCGAAACCGCAGCTTCGTTTGCGTAGAAAAATTTGCTCGTCGATAACCGGAACGAAACGGGAAGCCATTTTGTTTTTATCCGGAAGTCAATAGTGCAAGGATATCCAGAGTAGAGCAGCCAATCGAATTGATTGCAACGGTTTTACTAACACTAACCCTATTCCAAACACCAACTCTAAGGCCAAATAAAACAAAATACTTGGTTAGCGTCACACTCTCACAAATTTTCAGAGGCGGGAGGGAGTTTTTTTTTAATTTTTACTCGTTTTAATAGTATTTTTTCCACCATATCAGTGATATTTTTTGTACTGATGTTGCGAAGGCCGCCATTTTGCTATAAGAACATTGTACCCAAGCCCACGCGCTCCTATCGATCAGTATATAGCGCGAAGGTCTGAGCATGAGAAAAATTTCAAATATTAAACTGTTTTAAGAGCGAAGGTCCACTAATATCGAGCATCAGCCGGTCACGCTCAAAGTTTCGATTTTGCTTATTTTTGGTTTGCAGGAAGGCATTACCAAGTAAACAAACGTGATGTAGTTTGTTTTTCAAAAAACCGCTAAAATTCTGAGAAATCCGAGAAAAACGATTCAACTGTCGGCGGCCTAAAAAATATGCAAATTTTCAATTGAATCAAACAGGTT